GCAAAAGTTTATGCATATTTTTTCGCAAAGAAAAGTGCAGAAATTTAAAAAAAATTTCTCTTTTAACTACATTGATCTCTAACTCAGTAGTATATGCACTTGCTTTTACTATAATAAGTCAAAACATAGTTTGACTGCCTTCTAAATAAAATCATCCATGAATTTTTTGTTTTATACGATAGAAAATTGCGTATATGCAAAAAATATTTTATTTTTGCCTAAAAATGGCTATTTATGAACGCCATTTTCAGACATAATAAAACAAATAAACTAGTTTTTAAAAATTTTATATTAATATTTAATTAAAGAAGTTGCCGAAACTAGTCGGATACCTTAATTATGTATTTATTTTTCCAGAATACATTATAAAGCTCAAAAGAGCAAGATTATTTCCTATATATTCTTTATACATTTCATTTACATCTTTACAAGTTCAATGTATTTGAAACTTGTTGGTTCATATAGATTGGCCATTTACGAATCACAAGTTAGTAACATCAATTTTGTATAAGTTTTTAAAAAAATGAAATCATTTGAGAATAACTTTTAGCTCTCTCTATTAAAAGCAAAGGTTGGAATTGCCGCTGTTGTTTTGGGTGCTCAACTTTACGTTACGTTTTATTTTGTAACGTAAAACAAGGGAAATTAAATTTAGAAACAAAATTGGACTTAGAAAATTGAAATTACTAAGGTGTGTAGGAAAATGTACTGGGAATGCAATGGAATAAAAAAAATGAATTCTATAATCAGATCAAGAATTATTAACTGTTAAACTTCGAGTAAAAAACATCATTCGGGCCGTTGGTCAAACCGCCGAAATGTTTGTAGATATAAAACGCATTTTTCAAGAAGTCCCAACTTGTTCGAAAGATAAGGCAAGTTTTAAGTGATTTTTTTCCTCTTTTTTTTTAACTTTAAACAATGATTGTTTATTTATTGTTGTAGAAATTTTTTTCATCTTTCAAGGCTCCTTTGTTTTATAAGCTCATGAATGACTCCATGTTGAGAGTAACAAAAATAAGGGAGGAAATATTAGAGATATTCGATGTAGCCAGATCTAAATCTTAACATTTATATTAAAAATTTTAGCATGAAAAATTTCATTTACGAAATGTTCGAATGATATAAGTCTCGTTAACAAGATAAATTACTGATTCATTTATTTCTTCTTATTCAGTTGCACAATCTGTATTCCAAAGTTATTTTTTTTCTAACGGAGATGATTATTTTATCTCCAGCTATCGTATATATCATCATGATTAACATACTAACAGAATGTGTTTACATAAAATTATGATTAACATATATTTTATTAAGAATATGTTCTTTTTGCTGGATAATATCAACTTTTGAAGAAAAAGAAATAATGTTGAAAGAAAAAGCAGTCACGGGCCTAGTGGGCGAAGCGAGAAGGAGCGAAGCTTCCTAGTAATATTGTAAAATTCGCTTAGCTTAAAAAATTATTCGAAAATTTTCCTAAGTACATAATATCTATCTGTAATATGTGTTTATTTTGAACTATAACCCTTATAAACTTCTGTTCATATTCTCTTAGTAATTTCAAATAAAGGATTAAACATGATTAAATGATTTTTCAGCAAATACTTTAGTAACATGCTAGATTTTTTGATAAAATTAATTTCGTGGAGAAATAAGAAAAAAGTTAGTCAGTTTTATTTTTAGAATTTCTTTTCAAAGTATTTCCGAAAAATTAAGATACAATTTAATTTTAGATACAATTATCAGTTTCAATCCTTTTTTTCTGAATACTACAAGCAGAATTGAATATAATTTTATCTCTTAATAGAATTTACTATCAATCATTTATTTTCTGCATAGCAAGGGTACTCAATTTTCCAAAGGAACTCTGTGCTAGATTGCAATGTAAGTTTCACCTGTCAGAAGCAGAATTTATCGCGATATTATTGCTTAAAGAAATGTATCGCAATAAAATACCTTTACTACCGAAATTTCCCCTATTATCGTGCGAAAGTGATGCTCTCAATGTTTTTAGTTTTAGGTATGAAAAAAATGTATTTTCCTTTTTAATTCACTTCAAAAACGCAGATTTGTCATTGTTTTCATTTTTTAAGATCAGTGAAATTACTGTTTTTATTATCAGAGCATTTACATTATGTATAAATACAAAACGAATTTATACGATAAACAAAAATAACTCCAAGAAAATGTTTTGAATTATTATTTTAAAATTTAATATCACTACCAAACGAAATATGTAAATGTAATCAGAAAATGTAATCAATAAAAATTTAATCAAAATAAAAATGTAATCATAATAAGAAATGTTTCATTGCTACATTTTAAAGCATCATTCCACAATATATGACATTGTTCTGTTGCATTTTCTTCATTTTTTATTTTTTTACACCGAAAAAAATTACATTTGTAGTATTAAAACATTATAATTTTGATTCATATATTTCAGAATAATACTACGAAAAGATTGTCAAGTAATTTTAAGTAACCAATAAAACATAAAATATTCAATAATAAAAAAATAAAATATATTCTTTGCAAAGTATTATATTTGTATTCCAGTCACTTAAATCGAATCTCCCTATACTTTGAAATAAATATAGACGAATTTCTCCCCTGAGGTTATGGGAAAGAAAATATGGGTTCGATCATATATACACAATCTAGAAAGAATTTCTTTTGATAAAATAAAAGAAAAAAAATCAATATCATATATGTATTGAAACAAAGGGTCATAAAATTCTTATTATCTATATAATTAAATTATTGTAAGCCTTTGCATATTTTGATAATTTTACTAAAATGTAGAAAATAAGAATTTTTTATGAGTATGGAAAATATTCAAATTCATTTGATTGAAAATAAATTTAAATTACTCACGAGGAAGGAATCAAAATTAAGAAAACAAATAAAAGTTTCAAACATCAACTGGAAAATCCGTAAAGATCCCCTGAATATTTATTTTCAGAATATGTATTTTTATGCACACAGGGGGTCACAATGTAACATTTAACTGGGGTGAAACAAAAAAGGCTATCGAAATCTGATAAATCACAGTACTGGAAGGCGTGTGTAAGAAACAATAAGACAAGTTTAATTGCGGGAGGTAATAGAGAGGAGTAAAAAGACGATTATTTGATACACCTTCATCTTTTATTCTTTAATTAAACCTGTTTTATTATTTATTACATTTGTGTACCTCAACTGTAATTTATCAATTATCGATTGCGAGTTTTGTTATTTTCATCTCTCAAATATTTTCGACCCTTCTTTTTCTTTTTGATTTTTGATAAGGGTCTAAAATGCACATAAATAACTGTTTTTACAGAAGACTCTGTATGTATTTGAATATATAAAAGATGCATATGTATATGAATGACAGTTTTTTACATTTGATTGATTAACGGAGAATTTAAAATTTATTTCATAAATATTTTTGCAATACGAGTGTCTCAGCAAATTATTAACGTAGTATGTTAAATCTTCTTTTAAGCAATATGGTTTTCAATAATCTATTCTTTTAACTAAATATTTTTACTTGTAATCTTAATTTCATTATCCTACCGTAGAATATGAATAAATAATGGTTAATGTCTTAATTTGCTACGTTATGTAAAATTGTGGTGTGTTAAAAATGTTTTTAAAAATTAATTCAAAAATGTGATAATGAATAAATGAAACAGTAATTTTAATTGTTTAGACGGTTTTATACGGTTACCTTAAACAAACATTCAAATGAAAAAAAATTCAGAGAAGAATTTTGATAGAAAATTAGCTTACTCATGTTTTAAAAAAATTGTAAAAAAACCCATCTAAAGGTTAAATTGAATCTCTTTCTCCAACAATTATAAAAATGCCACAATTTGAGGATTATACAGAAATAAAGCTTAAAGTTTAAATCAAATACTATAAAGGTGTTTAAAACGGTCAATTACATGGAGAGAAAAATTCTAATAAAATTCCCGTACTGCATGGTAATGACATTTCTAGAGAAAAAAAAACATAATTCTGATAAATAAAGCCAGAATATGCGTAAATTTAAACCATTCGTTTGGTAATTTTTCCCCTTATATCGTAAAGATGTACCAAAAATTCTGATTTTCAAAATTTTAGTTCTTTTTACTAAACATTTAGTAAAAAATAGAAAACTGAAAAATAAAATTAACTGAATAAATGATTTTTATGCCATGCGCCAAGGTATCATGATAAAAATAAAAAAAAATTACCACATATGCTAAATTTCCTCAAAAATTATAAAACCATATTTCATTTTTATTTTTTCCAAAATCATTATCAAAGCACTTCGGTAAAAATTACCGAGCATTTTTGTGTTCTCCTCGAGCCAGGACCGCGGTAAATTTTACCATATTGGGATTGTTTTGACCATACGTTTTTTCTCAGTGTATAAATTTTCTAATATACGAGTAGTGAGCATACAAAAAGTTCAGAAAAATGAATATCTGGACAACAAAAACAAAATCCATGTACAAAAATTAAGCTTAAATAAATTATATTCTACTTAAAGATATAAATTATGATATCCAAAGAACAGCTTTCTGCTCATAATGAAGAAGAAAATATTGAACTGATCTAGTTTAGACCATAATAAACCAATCTCAATCCAATTTAGCGTCATCTAAATCACACCACATTAAATTTTCTAAAGATTATAACTGTTCTCAAATTACAGTCTGCCTTTTTCCATTATTATGTTCTTCGATGCATTATTTTAAATTTAAAATTAATTGAAAAATTTAATTATCGAACCATTAAAGCACTCTAATGTAAAAAAATAATAATCTCTTAATACGAAAGTCTTTTTTTTTNATACGATGTCTTTCTTTGTAATTTTGCTTGTTTAACTGTTTTTGATTATTTTATTATCAAAAAAGCGCTATAAATATACATACACACAAGAAACGTAAAGCGTAATGAAAATAAATAGATGAATGCATATATTTAGGCTTCGTAATACTAGCTAATGATAAGAACACAATAAATACCTGTTAAAAATCCCAAAAAGATTAGCGCTGCTATCAAAATACCAGCCAACATTCCACTAGAAAGTCTAATATTAGGTTTTCTTGGACGCGTCGATCCTGGTAAGTCAGGCAACAAAGATGGTTTCCTCTCTAGAACATAATTATTCGTTGAGTTATTTTTACCATTATGTTGCTTGGTATCAAAATTTAGTCTCACGTGAGTAACAGTTACTGATTCATGAGGACTAACGGTTATAAGTGATGGAGGCGTTGGAAATCTGTGACCTAAGCTCGGGTGGTCATTAAATATCTCAGGCTTCTTTAAATCGTACACAGAATCTCTATTTCCATCATTTATCTTATTTTCATTAAAACCTGAACGCTTAGGGTTTACTTCTATAAGTCTTTCCTTATCCGGTGAAAATGAAGAAACCGATACTTTTTCACTGGTATTCAACAAAATAAAGTCATCCGGTAAATTTTTAACTGGCTCCTTTGTAGCTGTTACAGGAGGATATTTTGCAATCCAAGGAGTATCGGGGAAAACTGGAGGGAAATAAACATCATCATGTTTGATTTCTTTTGAAAAATCCCTACCGACTTCCTTATTTTGTTCATAAAATGGCGTTTTTGAAAAGGGCAGGACTTGACCACCTCCTGGAGTGTCTTTGTACTTTATTTTGCCTTCTACGATTTGGGGAACTTTATTGATGGTCATATCTTTGGCACCTAATATTTGATGAGGGTTGGTATCGGGTTCTAAGTTCATATCATGGAAAATTTCACTTCGAGGTTTCTCATTATCTACGAAAATATTTGAATTTTCTGTCGAAGATGTTTTCTCAAAATTAGAAGAATTAGTTTTCAGATTTAATGGATTCTCTTTTTTGGGAGTATCATTGCGAAGAAGAGGCACAGAGGTATCATTGTTATTTTCATTTTGCATCGTAGATGGAACAACATCTTGTACTGAGGGATTGTTGGACTTTTTAATTTGCTCGCCAGTTGTCTTTTTGTTTGATTCTAAATCATTCCACTTTGGTTCATAAAGTATTCTAGATCTATTCTGGGGGATATGACCCACAACTTTTCCGTCCACAAACAAAGTTATTGTTTTCATAAGCTCCTTATCCTTATTTCCGGATATTGACGATAGGGTTGAAGTGCTGATGTCTTCCTTATCCGCATATTCTACACCAAGTGTTTTAAAGATATCTGGCGTATTTTTAGCTTTTTTCTTATCATTAGAAAAGAAATTTTGATTTGAAGGTGTCTTCTTGATTTGGTGATTATCAATGTTACCTCTTTGAGTAGCAGTTAAGTTCAAACTTTTCGTAAAATTTATTCGATCGACAGGTTGCAAGAAAAAAGTGTCATAAGCTTTTAAATTGTCATTTATGTACTTGGAAAACTCACTATCATCATTTAATGCACTTGAAGGATTGGGAGAAGGATTTAACTTAGGTTCGTCTTGCTTTCCTGATCTGATACCCGTGTAATTTAAATGTTTGTCAAGTTTAGTATTCAAGGAATGTGGAAATTTTAATTCTATGTTTTTAGCAACATTTCTCAGGTTGCTGTTTGGAATGTTTGAAATTATTCGCTTTGGTGTCCATTTTTCACCGACGATGGTGCGGTTTATTGATGATGGTGAGGTAACTTCCCGAAAAGATTCAGCTCGTTTTCCTTGCTGGCTGTCTACCAGTTTTGGCTTAGGGATTTTCCGTAAGCTGGCATCTCTAATATAACCAGTAGTTTGTATGGAAGGGTTTGCAATATCTGTATTTGAGACTTTAATACTTTTTCTCAGGGGGATGTCAAACGACGTTGGTTGCTCAGTGACCACTACTTTGAGTGGGAATCTTCTTCTATTGGTTGAAGGACGTAAAAATACTTCTCTTCTAACGGTACTAGCTCCCTGACTATTTTGGACAGGAATCCATGGTCTGCCATCAAGTTCGGTATCTTTGTTTTGACTTCTGGATGAACGGGAGCGATTTGGGGGAATATTTCTTCCAAACCCATGGGCGTTTCTGAAATGTACCGGTATGGGGGGAACGTAATCTTCGTTATGTGATGGGAGGAGGGAGAAGATACTTCTTCTGTCGAAACGTTCTATTTGGTTTTTGACTCCTTGACATGTCCCATGTAATACTGTGTCAGTTATTAGGACGAAAACGATTATCCACTTGAAAACTGGAAGAAAGGAAAAATTGGTGTTATCAATAATGGAATAGAGACTACTTTACATTATTTTTGCCCTCGTAAATTTAGTTTAATTAAATTTTTTATTTTATTCTTCTTTAGCTGTGAAAATAAATTACCACTTAAATAATGACGTGATGTGTTAATATCACATGTATTGTACATTATAAGGAAAATTAAACAAACTTTGGTTGAAATTGCAAAACAAAAAAGCCAAAATACACTTCATAAGCAAAAGTAAATTTGGCATGTTGTCATTATAATTGAATATACTTTTCTAATATAATGCGTTCAAATATTTTTTTAAAAAATCGCAATAATTATGATTCTTTTAACGTACTATTAGAAATTTAAATATCATTTATTTTATTTTCGTTATTTATGAAAATAATAAAATTATTCAGTTTTTAATTACTTCAAAACTTGTATGTTTCATAATTATTAACTACCATATGTTTTAGATCATTTGAATTTTTTTTTTTTTGTCTCAGACACGGAAATGTTGCGATTCCGAAAATATGAAACTGTTTCATTTTAGTTTTAATTTTTAACAATAAATTTCATGCGATGAAAATTTATTTTGTTTTCTTCACTTATCTATTTATTTTTATTTATAGAATTTTTTATGGATTATTTATTTTAAACATAATTATAGATTGAATTTAAATAATTATTCGTTGAAATTGAGATTTTTTTCACCTCGAAAAGAACCAAGTTCTTTTTAAAAAACTTCACCCCAAAAAAAACTTTTTACAAGAGTATTATTAATTAAGATGATACATTAGGATATTAGGTATTATATTAGGAAATTATGTATTATATTAAGATATTAGGTATTAGGATATTTGAAACTTATTATATTAGGATATTGGTTATTATATTGGGATATACGATATTAGGATATTGGGTATTTTATTAGGACATACGATATTAGGATATTGGATATACAATATTAGGATACTAGATAATTACTATATTGGGATTTTAGGCACTTATTATATTAAGACATTAGCTATTATTTTAGGATATGCAACATAAGGATATTGGTATTATACACTATCTACCAATAAGTATTTGGACACGTGTGATTGAAATGAAAAACAAACTTTATTCATAATCAATAGTTGGTAGAGCCTTCACGAGATGCAATTACAGCGCGAACCCTCTGGGGCATACTTTCCACAAGTCCTTGTGTGACGACTAGTGTTATTTTCTTCCACTCGGCTTGGAGAAGACATGTAAGTTTCTTCACCGATTTTGGACGGGTAGTACACCCCTGAATTCGGTGATCCAACTCGTTCCAGAGGTTCTCGATGGGGTTCAGGTCTGGGCTTTGGGCAGGCCAGTCCATTCGATTAACCCCATTGACAACATACCAAGCCTTGGTGACCCTCGCAACATGACAGCTGGCATTGTCGTCCTGGAAGTAACAGGGGTCCACCCCGTAGAACTGCCACAACGTAGGAAGCATATTGTCATCCAAAATAGTGCAGTAGGCATCGGCGTTGAGCTTGCAATGAATGGGGACCAAGGGTCCCAATCCATACCAGGAGAAAACTCCATTCATTTGCATAGGTGTCCAAATACTTATTGGTAGATAGCAGAATTGGCTGTTGATTACAGTAATCGATTACAACTGTAATTGATTACAGATAATTACAGCTATGTAATCAATTACTTGTAATCACGATTACAAGTAATCAATTACTTGTAATCGTGATTACAACTTTCAAAAAGTTTTTATTACAGCTGTAATCATGATTACAATTTTGATTACAGTAATCAATTACTTGTAATCATGCTTTCAAGTAATTGCGATTACAAGTAATCACAACAAAAACGATTACGAGTAATTATGGTTACAAATAATCAAAATATATGATTACATGTAATTTGATTACATGTAATTGTGATTACTTGTAATCAAACTATACGATTACAAGTTATTACGATTGTATACTATAGTCATTNCCTGCGCGCGAAGTCGAGCACTTTACGGTAGCACAGTTTAACGAGGACCAATACCGCACACCCTCGGTCCCTACGCAGACTGATCCAAGTTTGTCACCCACCCACCCACTGACTGCAGTCAGTGATGCTTGACTTCGGCGATCTGCTGGGAACCGTGTCTTAATGATCAGTCCACTGCGGGACATTTTAATCTGTTGTCATACAATCACTGTTTCATTAGTTGTATGGCAACAATTAATACAGATATTCTTTTCGAATATAATGCGTTAAAATGATTTTTTTGAAAAATCACAATAATTATAGTTTTTTTAACATACTATTGGAAACTTAAATATCAGTTATTTTATTTTCGTTACTTATGAAAATAAAAAATTATTCCGTTTTTAAAAATTTTAAAACTTGTATGTTTCATAATTACCAACTAACATTAGTTTTAGATCATTTGAATTTTTTTTTTTGTCAGACACGGAAATGTTGCGATTCCGAAAATATGAAATTGTTTCATTTTAGTTTTAATTTTTAACAATAAATTTCATGTGATGAAAATTTATTTCGTTTCTTCCACTTATTTATTTATTTTTATTTATAGAATTTTTCATGGATTATTTATTTTAAGCATAATTATAAATTAAATATAAATAATTATTCGTTGAAATTAAGATTTTTTTCACCGCGAAAAAAACCAAGTTCTTTTTAAAAAACTTCACTCCCAAAAACTTGCTACAAGAGTATTATTAATTAAGATTATATATTACGATATTAGGTATTATATTCGGAAATTATGTATTATATTAAGATATTAGGTATGAGGATATTTGATACTTATTATGTTGGGATATACGATATTAGGATATTGGGTATTATTTTAGGACATACGATATTACTATACTAGATAATTATTATATTAGGATGTTAGGCACTTATTATATTAAGACATTGGCTATTATTTTAGGATATACTGCATTAGGATATTAGGTATTATATTAGGATATACTATATTAGGATATTGGATGCTTGTATTAAGATAATGGTTATTATATTAGGACATACTATGTTAGATTATAAGGTACTAATTATATTAGGATACAAGGTACTATATTAGAACATTAGATACTATATTAGAATATTAGATACTTGTATTAAAATATTGGGTATTATATTAGGACATACTATGTTAGAATATAAGGTACTTATTATATTAGGATATTAGGTACTATATTAGGATATTAGATACTATATTAGGATATTAGAAACTTGTATTAAGATATTGGGTCGTATATCAGGATATACTATGTTAGAATATTTGGTACTAATTATATTATGATATTAGGTACTATATTAGGATATTATATACTTATTACCACAATCCCAGTAGATACTCTTGCCACAAATCATTAAGCGTTACTGACGAGACTAATAGAATGAGCGGGAATTTCTATGCAGCACCTACAAGTACCGTGCCAATTATAAATTCTCTCAGAAGTTTAGAAACTACGAGTGACTTAAGCGTTTAACTTTTAATGCAAAATATTTAAGCACAGAAAAAAAAATAAGCAATCTTCATTAACCAGAAAATCCAACTCTTTTTTTTTTCTTCCACAAAACTACGCATGCTTTAAAAAGTATTTCTATTATTGCTTTAAATCTCATTTCATGGATTATAAAGTTTACAAGGAGACAAACTTATGTCTTCGGAAATTAAAGCTTAATCACACTATTAACTTTTGTGAGAAATTAGATAATCGCAAGAGTAAACAATCTTCATTAACAAAAAAAAGTCATCTCTCCTTTACCACGAAATTACGAATCCGTAGAAAGTTACTATCACATTGCACTGAAGTTCATTAAAATAAACATCACAAACACTGATATTACGTCTTATATTTTGCAATATTTCATGCAAAGCAGCAACGTTTTCAAGAAATATTTCCACTATTATTTCACGTTTCGAAGCATAAAGCTCGGATGTCAAAACGTCGTTTGTTGTTTTAGTTTAAAATAAGGTGTTGGCAATTGAGGTGAGACGACCTTGTTACTTCGGGCGAAGAATTAAGCCTGAGAATTTGGCAACACATCGATATGGCTTGCGACGATCGCTTTTGTTTACCTGGTCTTTTGTTTCTTTCAAATTAAGCTATTAAGCTCTATTACCTATTCAGCAAGACATCGCTTTCTCCTCATTTTTGAATATTCTGATTGCCTTTTCATTTTCGTTTCAGTTAAGAATTTAGGTTAAACTCTTTTTTTCTTTCGAAATTCCCTTACTTTATTACAGTTGCGTATCTTAGCTTGTTTTACAATAAAACCTCTAGAAATTGAGCACCCTCGAGGTCCAGAAAATTGTCTGACTAAGATAAAGAAATGGTAATTGAAAAAAAACTAATTACTAACTGTTTCAATTAAATAAATATGAGGGTTCGGTGTATATGTATTTAGAAATAAGCAAATACGTTAATATACATGATCAAAGTTTGTAAAATGGTTGCTTTAAATTCATTGTATAAAAGTTGAGATTATGTGTACCCCTGTCTCGCACCGGCTAAGTTGTTTTTAGAAATTATATACCGATATAGCAGAGGTTTCCAACTTACATGAGGCCGGCAACCGCAACTAAAAACACAGTTCAAATGGCTGGCCGCAACTTTATCAAAATTTTATGTAGGACTCTTCTATGTTTGGAGGAGCATTAAATATTACTGTCAGATTTTCACCATGTTGTACAAAACAAAAATATTGAATTACAAATTAAAATAAGAAGTAGATTTTTAAAAATATTTAATTGCATATTAAAAATTTCGGGCTACAATGACTTTATGTGCAACCATGTATTAAACAATTAATGTGCAACAGTAATTGTTAAGATATAAAACTTTAAAAAGGTTGGTATTAAAACTTACATAGTAGCACACAAAATGTTCAATGACAAAATTGAGGTTTGTCTGCTGCTACCACCAGAGAATAGATATTTACATTTTAAATTTAAAATTTACAAACGTGTCTGTAAATATTTTCGTCTAAAA